CGGAGCGGTTACCCGGGCGGACATAACGTACCTGGCGCGCATCAGTTTTCGCATCAGGTCGGCTCGCTGGCGGCGCATCAAGGCTCCGGGCCCGGCAGCGGGAATCAGCAGCACGCGGACGCGGGCTTTCCCAGTCCCAGATCGCTCGCCGGATATCCGTTCGCGCCCATGCATCAGCACAACGCCTACGGATATCACATTGGAACGTACCCCCAGTGCCCCTCGCCGCCCAAGGACGGTGAGTACCCCAACTGTATGTATTCGCAGCCTTTTTTATTCCTATTCTTAGTTTACGTATATCTAGTTTACGTTAATCGGTGAAATCTCCGTTTCTTGCGACTCCGATCAGTGCCTCATGCCTCGTGGAATCCCGCCGACGGTGGAATATCGCGAAAAATATATGATAATGTAATCTGGTGCTCGTCAGGGTGGAATATCCGAGATGTGATGTTTGCGCGAAGTGATGCTAGTGCAAAGTGGAACGGAGATATTCATCGAAGGGCTCAAGGTGAAAAAAGTTCTTTGATATAATTCATTTATACTCTCTAATGAAATAACTTTTAGAGTGTGAACCTCAATCTGAATATAATCTCACTTTTAAAGATTGATTTTCACTCTTTAGAGTGAGATTCCACTTCAGAAAGAATTTAGAGAGTACATTTACATTCGTCAAGAACTAAGGGCAACAATCAATGGTTATACATTCAGCAGAGAAAGCAGCTTTGCAACTGTTGTAAAATTCTTCAGTGTGATTGGTTTATATATTTAAATCCAGTGAGAGGAAGGGCAAGAGCAATCATATTAAAGAATTTTATAACAGTTGTAGAGCTGCTTTCTCTGCTGAATGCAGCCAATTGTATTAAAGAATATTACAACAGTTGCAAAGTTGTTTTGTCTATTGAACGTAGCCATTGGTCGCGCTTGGTAGAAGTCAGTGCTTAGTAAGTGCGTTTTGCATTGATTGGATTTATTCTTTTTTTTTTACAGGGTTGGTCACAAAACTAGAAATCACATAGAAGTCTTGACTTTAAAGAATTAATTTATGTTACATCTACGTAGTTTTGGGATACCAACTTAACAATTAAAAGTGCAAGCAGTGTCAGCAAATTAATAATAATTTCCATTACTAAATTGATCTCTCAACAAAATATTTAACATGTATTTCCAAATCAGGATGAAAATACAAAAAAAATTTAAATGTTATTGAAAGTCAGGGAAAATCAGGAAATTTTGTCAGGAATTTGTGACAACCCTGTTTTAGATCTGAAAGAAGTCTTATCTCAGCGAAGAAAATTTCCAACAATTGCAAAATAAATATTCCGTTGAAGACGACCATTTGTTTGTAACTTAGTAATAAATAAACTGGCAATAATGAATTAGAAATTCTAATGCCATATTTTGTGTCAAGAATATTAATGGCTCGAAATAAAAAAGTTCCGAAAGTTAGCTCGAATATTTATCTTGAGCCCTACATTTTAGATAGTAAATAAATAAATAAATATAGAGATCTTTCGAAGTCGTCCATCATCGGTGCGCTAATACGTGGACGACTTCGAGTTTCGAAGGCGAGTGTATCGTGCCAGCGTTATAACATTTGTCAGAAATGATACGGTCATCTTGACGCGAAGCAGAATAAGACGGTGACAGACGTTTCCGGTGGGTCACCTGTATTTCGCGTCGCGAGCGCTTTATTACTATATGACTTTTTTATACGGCCGTAGGACTTTATTGCCGGTTGGCGAATGTCTTCATCACGCGCAAGTAAATTTCCGTGCAAAAATAAATGTGGTACGCTTATAGCTTTGCGACGCAAAGCTACACAATCAGATAGCTGCTTCACTGTTGTGTAGAAAAAAAAGAAAACAGGCAACGTTTACTACGAATTCGTTCACTCGATTCCTGTTTACGGTTCCTATTGTCAGACTTTTGAGTCAATCCCTCACACTCTTATCTTCCGTGACGTGACTTCTTTTTTTAAAAAGAAAATTTATGTACGAAGCGTTATAAATTTTTTTTATATAGATGATTTCTATCTCCGTTGTGAAAGTATAAGATCTTAAATTTAAAAAGAGACTTTTAAAAGAAAATTTAAAAAATGAAGCGTGCGAAAATCTAAAAAATAGACAAAATAGGAGCATTTTAAAATAAATATGCTTATAGCTTTCTCTTCCCTGTGTCTAAATGTATCCCAAGAATCTAGAGTAGCAGGTAGCCGGTCGACATTCTACCTATTCTACGGCAGACAATGCCACGAAACGAAATAAGATATATGACTAGGATGACTTCCATTGGAAGACCATAAAAAGTCCCGCAAATCGCCTAACGAACGAGACAAAAAGGTTCGGGATCAAACGGGAGCAGTTGCGACTTCTTCTTCAGGAACTCTTCTGCTCGTACAAGTTTTCTTTTCGGTCACCTCGCTTCTTCTCTCGTGTTTTTACCTTCCTTCAGAATCGCATTAGCACGATGTAATCGCTTTTATTTTACGCGCGAAATCACGAGTCAGCTAATTACGATCATTATCGGATTCGCCCCAGGTTCGTCGTGGATCGCGGAATCGCTCAAGGCACTATACGATGTTACGATAACTAACTTTAAAATGTCTTTTTAAACTTGTTATATCGTTAGATTTTGAAAAAGCTAGTTAGTTTTCACTATCTTAGGATTCACTAATTAAGATTTAGACGCATAAAATAAAGAAAATATAGCAAAAGAGTCGTATTGTGATAAACAATAAATGCATATTTAACTTAAATTGTTTCCACTGATGATAGGTTGTCTTGTTATCTCATGGAAATTTCTATTTTATTTGTCTGTTTGAATATATCTAGCGCATCTCTCTCTCTCTCTCATAGTCTAAACACAATACGACTATATACACATCCGCATCGCGAAATCGCGTGATCGAGATAACTTGTTTCACCGAAGAAAGTCCGGCATGCTACGAGGCTCCATGCAGCGACATTCGCGCTGGTTTCTTAGTCGATCGCATTTTCAAATATATATATAGTCCGGAGTGCTGACTGGAAATATTCTAAAGTCGTGACAACATTCGGGGCGGATAATTTATCGCGGCCGTGCGCGCGCGATGTGTGGAGCAACGGGGAAACCCCCGTAGGCGCGCTTAAGCAAACGTTCGCAGGAGTATAACCGACCGAATAGCGGCGGCTAGACGGTAGTTCGCTACCCTCCCATCCGCGGCCCATGAATTCGTAACGACTGTCCACCATTGCGGCATGTGGCAACCTCTCGGGGAAGTCCGGCGTTTCTGCGTATAATCCACTAGCGGGACTATCCACTGTACGACCCTCGCTTCGGCGTGCGGGCAATTTTCGTGGCGCCCTTTCTTGAAAATTACCGATGATCTTCCGACGAAAGCCGCGAAAGGGTTCGCGATGCGGGAGGCAAACTTTTCCGCCAACGGGAGGAATCAGCGTGCCATCGGGAGCGGTGCAATTTTTGTTTTGCGGCTAGCGAGCGAACGAAGGAAGGAGCGATCGGTCGGCGCCGGCCGATCGCTCGTCAGAGGGTTAAATTCTCACGCACGAAGGGTTGCGACGCGCGGAAACTTGCATTTCGCCCTTAAATTGCCGGTAATTCCCCCCCCTCCTCCGCAACGTATGCACGGTATCGCTTTTCATAAATCGCACAGCAGCAAAATGCATATCCTCGATCCGCTTCGCGAGCTGCATCGTAAAAACTTCTCTATCGAAGGATTGACATAACTTTAGTATTTTTGCGGAAAAGTTTTCTCGGGGTTTTCTGGTAGAGACGACAGTTACGCTGTGTCGTCGCGATATATCTCAGAAATATATCAGAAATACTCGTGGCAACTTTTACTAAGGTACAGAAGCAAGTATACACTAGACTCTAGAGACTCTCTAATCAGAGTCTGGACACGAGTCCGTTTTGTATGCGGGATCTCTAATTTTTAGCAAAACCACGCGAGAGAACATACATTTCCATACATTTACTTTTTTTTTCTTTCTCTTCTATTTTTGTCTTATTTTTTTCTTTCTCTAATTTGTTTAAAAGCGTATTTGATCATTACTTGTTTAACAATAGTATTGCTTGATGGCTTCTTATCTATTCCAAATTTTTATCTTGGTTATGATATACTGGCTATTACTGGCTTTATCTCTTAATTAGCTTGTATTTAGCAGGAGAGGTCCTTAAATAGTTTTTCATTTCTTGAATATCTCAATTTGCGTCTTTTTGAGACTCTTATATTCGTTTGTCGTATATTACTTTTCTTTTCTAAAATTGTATTATTTTAAACAATACTTAACATATTTTATATATTTTTTGTAGTTATAGTTTTTTAGTTCTTCTAATGTATTATTTTATATACCTATTATAACGTATTAATGATAAGTATTGAAAGGATTGTGGCCCAGAGCGCCAAATAAATGGCGATTCAATCAATCGACCAATCTCTCTCTCTCTCTCTCTCTCTCTCTCTCTCATACATACGGGAATTACTAAAATATGATGGACCATTGAAAAGTAATTGCTTTGTGTCTTGAGTCTGATTAGAAGGTCTTTAATTTAAACAAACGAATGCGTGATGTAAAAGTCGATATTATAAAGATTACGGCACTTACGTTCACGTCGATTAGTTGAACGAAAATAGAAGTTACAATAATGATCCGTCTAATTGCTGTCGAGCACATCACATGTTTGTGTATTTCGCTCAGAACGATTCCGTCATTTATCTTGGTTTTAACACGAGGCGCATAGTTAATTTGATTATTTCAAAACGATTTTGATTATACGATTAAACTAACAGTGACACGGTAATTGCAAGATATATGTACAATACAAATTGCAATATTGTAACAAATTTACATTTTTTATGCTCAATTGATTTAAAGCAACGCTTATTCTTAAAATCATAATTTAACTGTATTTATATAATTAAATTGAAAAATAATTGTGTGAATATATTAAAACTTGTTTAAGGTATAGCTTTTAATAACATTATTTAGTACCATTTAAAAATAATTCATAAGAGGAAAACATTAATAAAACGTTATTTTTAAACATCAAGAGATACTATTTATATTTCTTACGGTAACAAACAAATAAGGCGAATAATATATATAACCTCAAGATACTCAGAGTTCAATGAACTGCCACATATTGCGCAAGTATTTAGCTAATAAAATATTATCATTATACCTTTCACGCGCGCGGTGAATAAACTGTAGTAGAGAATGCACTTCATAAAAGTGATTTATAACAAAATCGTCC